ACCAGGGAGGGCGGAAACATCCCCGCCGCTGCCACCATTCAATTGGCTGGCTTCTCTAGGCTCCTGTGCCATTGGTCTTGCGCTGAGGCGGGGACTGGCCCACCTCTCGTGCCGGAGGTGGGCGGGGGCGGGAGCGGGAAGGGGGCTGAAGGGGCTGTTCTGTCTCGGTCTTTCCCCAAGGGGAATAGGGCGGGAGCGGGGCCTACCTACTGGCAGGGACTTCCTGCACTTTCCACACCTGGAAGAGCTGCACACCTAACATTTGAAAAAGGCCAAAACCTCCGTACCCCCATATCCGAGGAGACCACCCCTCTATATCTGCGAGAGGTCTGTGTCCCTGTCATCTGGAGGAAGTCTCTGCGTCCCCACCCCTGGGAGATGTAACCTCCTCATCTTGAAAGCCCTCTATACTCCCTCACGTTCACTCCCATCTGGGTGCGGACTCTGCATCCCCACTCCAGAGGGTCTGTCGTTGGATCCACATTCCCTAAGGGTGTGAACAACTCTGCTAACACAAGCTCTTTGGACACATTTACTGAGTTCTCACTCAATATTGGTCGTGGTTTGTGCTTTGCTCTGCTGTGGGGGAGCCTGAGGGATAGCTCAGGCCTGGCTGGAATAGGACCAGGCATGACTCTACATCCTAGAAGCTCCTGACTCTCTCTGTCCTAGATGCTCTTCTAAGAAGAAGATCAGCTTGGGCAGGAGCCAACAGGTAGGCCTTCCTACCCTACTTCATATGCCAGTGATTCCTACATCTTCTGAACTGGACCCTCTTCTTGCCCCATTTTACATATCTAAATGTATGAGCACGTCCCTGAAGCTATACCATGAAAACTGTGCTCACAAATCTAGCCTTAACTTATCTCTAATTCAAGACTCAGATCCAAGTGCCTACCAGAATTAGGTGGCATTGATTCCTGGTTCTGCCACTTACCTAACTTTGTGGGCAAGTTATTAACCTCTTTTAGCTATAGTTTCCTCATCTGTAAAGTGGTTACAGTAACAGCTACTTTCCAGGGTTGTAATTCACAAATAAACTTACATCATACCAACCATGTCTCAGCAAATGGCAACTGACCCAACCTCAGGGGCCACATGAGTAAGGACCCCTTCCCCCAGTTCACATGAGGTCCCTGTAAATCCAGATGCTATCTTGAAAATGAGAAAGGGGCAGGTAAAATCTGAAAGAATGAGTCATCCAAACCTACTGAGTTACTTAGAGATGGTCTAAAATAAAATTTTGGACCCTACTGAGTTTACCAGAGTGGATTAATTTTAGTTTCCTCACCCCTATTACCCAGCAGGGTGGGGGCATTGTGAGCAAGTTCAAATCAGTTCTAGGAAACATAGAAGACTTATATCATTGCACATCTGAGTATAATGTGAGTGAATCTGTGACCCAGCTGCAGGAGTTCAGATTTTATCCTGGAAACAGTGGGGAAGGAGCCACTGAAGAATTTTGAGCAGAGGAGTAATGTGATCATATCCAGAAATTAGAAGAATGATTTGGGTTGCTGGTTGGAGGGAGGGACTGAACGTGTTTGAAAGTGAAGGCAAGGAGTAATGACAAGGGACTATAATGATGTAGGGGAGCAGGAGTGGAGAGAAAGGAGAGAGCACTGAGGATGTTTGGGAGTTAGAATTAGCAGGACTTAAGAGACCTAGACCTATGGTATATGGGGGTAAGAGGAAGAGAAAATCTGGGATAATTCCCAGGTTGGTGAGTAGGGGTACTGTGATGCCATTTACTGAGATAAGGAAAGCATGAGAAGGGGTGAGTTTCAGCAGCGGGCTGGGTGAGAGGGAAGATGAGTTAAATTTTGGATATGTTGAATTTGATGTACCAGTTGGACACTCAAACTGGGATTTCCAATAGACAGTTGGATGGACAGGTCTGGGATTCAGGAGAGAGGACCAAGCTGAAAATAACATTTTGAGACTTAACAGCAAAGGGTAGTAGTCAAACCAGAAAAGTGGATGAGCTCACCCTAGAAGAGTAAGGCCGGTTTAAGCAAAAAGATATATTTATAATCAGATACTGAAACTTAAAGAGAGGGATGCCTTGGGAACAACTGGAACTAATAGACGCAAAAGTCATTAGGTTCTCTTTCCATCTACCATCTCTATTATTTTCTGCCTGTCTCCTTTATTCCCCGCCACGGCCCCCACCACACCACTGCATCCACCCTCAGCCCTTGCTCTCCCTACCCCCAGACTGGCTTTCAGTGCTCTCCTGGTCCACATGGTAAAAAACTTGACTTCACACAATTCCAAAGCTTAAAATCTTGCTGTCTAGGTATCCAACCAAACACTGGCTTCTTTTTCTTGGTCGCAGTTTGCAAATTCCTCAGGGAAACCTCTTAATATTTAGAGATGGAAGAAATAGAAAATAAAATGGAGTAAAAAGAAAGCACTATACAGTGCTTACTAATTCTGAACATTATCTATATTCATTGAATAACAATGAAAATGATGGGGCCAGGAAACCTCATGGCATCTGTTTGTTGACCTACTTCTTGGCTGTGGAGTTTCCCTGGCAGCCAATCTGGCTGCCCCCAGGTCTTGCCCACAAGGCTAAGATCCCTTATCCAGCGTTCTGAGAGTGCCATTGCAGAGGATTTCTCTGCGGGGCATTGTACTGATTATCACTACACTTCCTGGTGGTGTCTTAGAGATTGTACTGGGATTGAGCAGTCATAGATCTCTGCATTTATGAGTATTGGGTGTGGTTTTATTTTTCCTCCCAGATGATACAGTTCTTTTAAAACTGTAATCATCTGTCTGTCAGTTTCATCTGGGAGAGAATTCCTTTTACTAATAACATATTTCATTGATCCTAAAGCACATTTTTTTCTAGTTTAAACAACTCAAATTGGAATGTCTTATAATTAATGGCATGTAATAGTTTTTTAGCCTCTTTTTTCTTAGTAGTTCATAAAATAACTTGCCTTTTATAAGTGATGGAGCATGAGATTTATTAAATATAATAATTTTATCAGTCAGAGTTCTTTCTCACAAATAATAAAATCCGCCCTGGATAGTTGAAACATAAAAGGGATTTGTTAAAAGATATTATTTAGCTCAGAATTGTTAGAAGGGCTGGGTAAATGGACTTGAGGCTAAGTTTCTAGGAACAACACCCAAACCATACCACACAACCCGATAAAGAAACCACACCACTGCCATTCCAAACACTAAGCACCAAGAGTTCAATTTGACTGTCAACGTTACAAGCTCTATGGCACTTCTGTGGTAGGAACTCAATATTGCAACCACTGGGAAACCACTGCTGTTACCACTACCACGCCCAACAGCTGAACACGTGTGGTACTACCAGCAATAGCAGAAATTTAAGCGTTATGTCCATCCTATATCAGTCAGGATTAGCTAGGCAGCACAGCAGTTACAAACAACCCCTAGATTTTACTCGCTTAAAATAACAAAGATGTATTTCTTCCTCATGCTGTAGTTCCAGCATAAGTGAATGGAGGAAGGGGAGTATTGCTCTCATTGTGGTCACTCAGGGATCTAGGCTGCTGGATACTCCACTATGTTATGAAGCTTCCATCTGCTTGCTATGAACCTTCATAGTTTGCTGTGGCAGAGAGAGTGAGGAAAAACATATACTGGCTTCTGCTTACATTGCATTGATCAAAAATTTCGTGGCCACACCTAACATCAAGGGACAAAGGAAGTGCAATTCTGCTGGCACTCAGAAAGAGAGGAGAACCAAAATATTGGTGAACTTTAGTGATATTTACCTCGCTCATATTCCTCACTTCCAAGTCGAAGTCTCACATGGGGAAAATAGCATGCTTGTAAACAGCTGCAAGGGATGCTGGAAGTTTTAGTTCTGACTTCTGTACCGAGGAGGCTGGATGTAAAAATGATAATTTTTCCATATAGCAAAACTGTTTAAAAGATGAAGGACATTTGTGAATACAACATATTTCCACTACCATAATCAATAATAGAATTTCATAGAACCATGCTCTCTGAATCTCCAGGTTTGCCAAGAAGACACAGGGCCTGCCCAACTCTTGGAGGAGTGATTTCTCTTTTTGAGCACTATGTCTGGAGACTCTTTCAATCCCTCTGACTTGCCTACTGGCTTCACAGGAAATCATGGGCTGGAGTGACAGGGCTGGAAACTTCTCTTCAACCTACCCTAGAACGATGCCTTTGCCTCACCCCCATTCCAGTCATCTCACTTTACAGTGGGAGGCACTATCACATTTGCCTGGCAGTGTAGGGACATCCAAATGGGTGCTCTGCAAACAATTAGGGAACAACAGAGTAAGTATTTAACTTGGATAAGGAAATGTGTTTCCGTTTTGACTTCAGACTGCTAGGAGCCAGATCATTATGTGCCTTGCCGAATTGCAGAAGCTGAACTTATTGGCTGTTCTCTAATATTGATGGCCTGATTAGGAAGCTGAGAGGCCCTAGCAATCAGGATGGAGATAACACTGGAAGAGTCAGAGGAACTGGGAAGCCCTGCTTGTTGTCCCCACTCTGCCTCCTCTCTCTCCCTTTTTTCTCTCCAGACAAGCTCCCTTTACTTCTCCAGTCCATCTGATTTCTGACAATTCTTAACTTAATAGCTTAAACATAGGTAACCAACAAGATGTTGGCTCATCTCTTTCATTTCTAGTTTTGGCTTATCCTCTTCAGT